TAATCCCAAAATTGGCATTGCTCCGGGTGAGTAATTCTACTTCCAACCCAAGTATGACATCTACAATAGAATGGACATCTACGGACTGTTAAAGTACCACGAAATCAATGGGTTGGGAGGTATTGATCACAAAGACATTGCCAAATGCGTGAAAGATGCAGACAAAGTGGTGAAAGTGAATTTAAGCACGAAGTTGTAGTCCACATTTTCATCCCACATTTTTGCTCACTTCTTCCTTCTTTTCTTGCTTTCTTTGCTTTTTGCTTGCCTGATTGTTTGTTTACTTGCTTGCTAGTTTTCATCTTGTGGTCTTTACTCACCCAGTTCTTTTCTCCTTGTGCGTAGAGTCTTGGAGACACTGTGTTGGCTCACACGAACAAAAGGACAAAGAAGAGAGTCATTTACTTCAATGATGCACGATTCGACCTCAGAGTTGGCACTGATTTGGTGGAGATGTGGAGGTCGGTTTGTGTGGAGGGGGTGAGCAGGAACCAAGTACAAGACTACCTGACAAAGCATGGCCTAACTAAGATGTCAGGAGATGAACCAAATAGACCTCGGTGTGAGGAGGTGAAGAAGTGCAAGCTTCCCAACAGACGGCCCAGACGACAGGTCGATTTTAAATCCAAATCCCACGTCAATGATACTCTCTTTCACGTCCCCTGACTTGACATGCCCTCAAGATATTGCCTTCCATTATGTATTACTCCTTTCTATCTTACCATCGTTATCCTTTTATTTGTAAATACGCACCTTCCTCATGCAACCTCATCTTGAGCTCCATTTAAGAATTCAATGAAGTACATGTTTGGCAAGTGGGGTAATCACTTGTTGTCACCTCTTCATCTGGTCAAAGCAAAAATCTTGTTCAATTATAGCTAATTAAAACACATTACCTGNACTCACTTTCACCACTTTGTCTGCATCTTTCACGCATTCGGCAATGTCTTCGTATTCAATACCTCCCAATCCATTGATTTCGCAGTGCTTCAACAGTCCGTAGAGGTCCATTCTATTGTGGATGTCATACTTGGGTTGGAAGTAGAATTTCCCATCCGGAGCAATGCCAATTTTGGGATTATTTGGGAGAGCTTCAGTCTCCAACCACACAATGTTGCTCTTCGTCTCATCACGTATGAACAGCTCATCGAGAATTTCTTCCACTGAGAGAGCTGCGAACAAGCCATCAAGATGACGCTTCTTCAAGTAATTCACTACTCGGCAAAGCAACGAGAATCGGCCTTGCCTTTCTCTTTGTGGAGTGCAGAATTTCACACTCGATTGAAGTGCAACATTGAGGGCCTCATGTTGGGCGCTAATTTCATTACTACTACAGTTCCTCGTCACACCCAGTCGAGGCTTCTTGACTTGTGATTGAAAAGATGTGGGAACATCACCAGGACGTTTACGACAAACTTTGCTTTCTCTTCCCAACATCATCCGATTCATTCCAGACGCAATGCGGGCTCAAATGAAAGTGGAGCCTTGTTGAGGGATGCGAATTCAAACAAATTCATATATTGTAGTATTTTATAGTCGCTCTTTTTCATCGGCTTTAAACTAGAAACTTAAAGTTCTTATTTTTAACTAGATTTAATTGCTGTCATATTTTTGCTATATAGAGGAAATTCTATCTTCATTTGGCTTTTCAAAGTTTGTCTAGATAAGTGTTCTGTTTTTGCCTTAAAATAAATGAAATATTCATATATGGGTTCGAAATAAAAAGAATTGTACAAATCGCTTAATTTTTAACCTAAAATTCTCCAGTGATAATCCTGGATTTGATTTATCAACTAATATTTGAAAGGCAACCTTTGACAAAGTTAATTTCAAATCCTACACCATCTGACAATATTGGCATTATGGTTGAGATCCAACCCCTCACGGCGAAAATTGCATTTCTAAATCTGCTTACACGTTGACCTACTTGGTTGCTGAGAATGAACGTTGGTAGATTGGACTGGCGAATGCGGAGACACTGTTATATTGAAAATGCCACTGTTATATTGATTGAGCACAACTCTTGATGAAATGATGTGGGCATTACTCATCGTGATGGAGGAAACGTGATTCCAGATGAGGGGGAATGACGGAGAGGTGGGTGAATCATCATGAGATTGAGAGAACAAACAAACATCTTTTAACAGAAGTGGAATGCGTCTTTGCCTCTGGTTCTTTATTAGTCGTTGTCAATCACATTTTCCTTTCCTCTCAGCAGGCCATTGCGATAGACATGGTAGAGTGTGGAGTGTCATTTATATATTTGGCTTGACAATCATGAGCCTGTTCCTTTGAAATGTGCTAAAATGTCATAAAAGAGAGGTCATCTACAAGAAATGTCAAGGTGAAAGATACTCTTGTGAGCAAGAGGTGAACTGCCATTTATTAAGCAAATAAAATTTAACTCAAATTGACTTAGTCTAGCCTCTAATTTATCGAATTGGTTGCTATTTTGCCTTCCTCCAATACACCATGGACTATTTGCTTGGTGGTGCACTGTTAGTTGAGAATCGGTCATCGTTAGACCATGTGTCTTCTCTCCTCCAACTAATTGCGAACCTCAACTCTGTGTGATGGAATTCATCCTAAGTGGCCAATTATGCAACGCCACTCGGTTTTCATGCTCTTTATCCTCACCCCGACCTACCAAAATCCTCCATCTAATCCATGCATTCCTACATTTGGTGTAAAATGCTCATTGGCAATTATAACCTGGAATAGTTGGTTGCCTATTTGAAGTACCTTCGATGCAAACAAACAGGTGGAATGATTACTTGTAGCCCTGCAAAGTGAGTTGTTGCAGGAACTCCACCTCACTCTGTTAAACATCGTCACTACGTATTTGAGTAGTATGAAGTATTGGTGGGTTTCAGATTTCAAACAAGGCAACTTACGTAGACCAATGAATGAGAAGGGTGGAGAGCGTTTCGCCATCAAGCCTGATCAAATGAACACAGGCATCTTGAAACGTGCCTAGGCTTTCGCATGACGAGGAAATGCGGTTATGTGTGCATAGACCTCTAGTCTAACCCTCAATTAATACACGTCGCTACCTACAGTGTGATCACTAGTATTCAATGATTGAGCTTTGTGACACTTATTGCTTCACGTGTATTCTGCCCTCAATATTGTTGTCTTAGATCAACTCAACTTTACTACCATATTATAATGGAGGAAGTTGGGTAGAGAGATATGTTAATTATAGCGCTCCATCAAATCGAAATAACGTCAAAACGCGTTTTAATTATTTTATCATAAGTTAACAGGACACATAAACTGTAAAGTAAATTATCGAATTTTTCCTGAAATTTTACTTCAGTTTACGATAACCAACTAGCAGAGAGAGAATCAAAATTGGGTTGTTGTTTGGTGTGGTCGAAAGCGATTCCACTTGAAAAATAAAATTAATAATGGGAGGTTGCACAGCTTCATTACCTTCCGTCTTCCAAATATTATTCACCTTTAATATTGATCGCATTCATTGTGTAATTGGTCTTAGTTGAACCATTACATTTGATCACATTGTTTAGCACTGAGGCTCGAGGCATTTGGAGATTGAATACTACTTGTCTTTTCGAAGGTACCTAAGTACAAATGCACATAATGTCTAAAGATCAAAGTTGAATGAGATTTTGGAGGAGAATGAAGGAGGGGCTAAATGAATGGAAACCTGCAAATGACGAGGAGGTGGCTTAAGAAATTGGCTGTTGAAGTAATTTTTTAGGAATTGAAGAAAGTGGAAACAGGTAAGACGTGTGAAGAAGGAGGTGAGCGCCAGAGTTGGGTCATGGGGATAATCGTACATGAAGACGAGTAGACAAGAAGCTGGCATTCAACGGATGGGAAACTCCAGAAGACATCTGCAAAGTAGGCCTAAAGTGCCATGAATGAGTAGAAATTATTGATGAGGGGAGGAGAAAGCATTGCTTAACGACTTTTTGCGTATTCGCAACATTTTATCAGACACACTGGCGCCTGTACTGGCATAAGACCATGTTGTCTGAGAGCAATCCAACAGTCGATCAGCTTCTTGCATTATAGTAGTCCAGAGAGCAGAACCAGTCCATCGTGACTAATTTATCAAGCTTTAAACTAGTCTTAAGACAAGTGATTTGCATGAAAATCGTACAACAGGCGAGAGTCATATTGACTTTTGTTTTCACATGGAACATCTAAAGGAAATGGTTGGGAGAAAAAGACAATGACTTTTATTTTGATGGGGCATAGAAATTGACAGAAAAGCTAAAACAGAGTGTACATATTTCAGTCTTCTATTATATTATTATTGCATTAACGAACTGGACAACTGGAGCTTGATTTCTAGTAATCTTCATTTCGATACAAGGCAAATTATGAGAGAGAGAGAAAAAATCAGTGTTGCCACGAATTGGAAATTATTATTCCAGTTCGGATTTCTGTCTAGACAAGAGGATTCAGCATTCTCTCCTATTGTCAGCCTCACTGAGTAGAGATTGAAATCACGAATTCCTACCTACACACTCAATCCACTTAAATGAGTTCTGTAGGCAAAATCGACACTTCGTTCTCCATTTCATTGAAACAAGACTTCAGTGATTGGTGACTGAATGACTTGATTTAATTTAATTTTCTGAAAAGGAAGTCATGCTTGGTAATTGTGAAGTAGGCGAATTTGGAAGCTAAGAACTTCATTATTAAAAGCAATCATTGTGTGTTTACTTCCTCTTCTACTCAGTTGACTAGGAGGTGGTGTTAGGGCAGCAAGATGTCAAATGCCCTGTTGAATTTGATGTTACAAATCAATCCATATTTCCAGTCTTACATCCTTCCAATTGATTTTCATCTCATCCCATTGCCAAAAACTATCAAATATGGCTAAAATGTCCAATATAACAGACAAAACAATTATTTTCAAGTATTCCAGCACATCCACTTCCCCTTTCATCTCAACACTTTTAACTTCAGGGGTTCCCACTCACTTAACCATAATGCTGATATTGTCAGAGGATGAAGAGCATTTGTCCTGCAAACTACATGATGGTGTAGGAATTGAAATAAAATTTGGCAAATGTTAACTTTAAAATATAAGCTGATAAATCCAATTCGTGATTATCACTGGAAATTTTTTCTGTTAAAATTAGAAGGTGGATTAAATATTTTTTTATACAACTCATTTATGAATAGTTTATTTAATTTAATGCTTAAAACCCTAACACTTATCTAGACAAAATTTGATTATTTTAATGCAGAGAGAATTTCTCCTATTTTGGAATAATATGACAACAATTTAATTTAATTATAAATAAGAAGCATTAAATTTCTAGATTATAGGTGATGAACAATATTGAATCACAATTACTTCAATATATGAATTCTCATGTTAATAAAATTACATTAACATTGGATTTCAACAATGAAGATACAGAAAACGAAATACTCATTAATTACATTAAAAATACATATTCAGTGTCAGATAATTAACCACAAAATTTTTCGTTATGAATAATAAATACTTTAGATTGATGTCCTTAATTGGGCTTTACATTGAAATATTTGGCTTGTTTCCATATTTCGATATACTAATTTTATACTGATTGCGCTGTATTTGATATAATGGTTTTGACTAGGTCGGGGGGAGATGTTTTCGAATTATTAGAACATGCCTCATCAGATACGAAAAACTTTTTTAAAACTGCACAGTTATTGACTTTTGGTCATAATCCATTTGACGAGGATGTATTTCTAATGGAAGTGACTCCTGCTTTGGCTGACCAGTTTCTCTCAAATCCGCTTTTCAATGCCGAGATCAAGTCAAAGGACGGTAATGACGACGAAAATCCCGCCTTCTTTTGCACAGAGACATCAACTCATCGTCTTTTGGAAACAGAAACCTCTGACATTTTACTTCCTGTCCCAGGCTTGAAAATTCCCGACGAGGCTGAAGATGGTTATTGGTTGACGGAAAAGCCCAGTGTCAGTAATCGTATTGTCACCGCTATGAAATCATTTTACATTGAGCCTACGTCTGTTCGAGCTCCTAGTCTTTATACTTTAAAGCAGCGTCTCATTCCTGCAAATTTTGCTGGGCATATTGAAGACGAGGACCAGGATATCTCGGCTTTTGATAATTTTATTACATTGGATGATCTCCGTAAATCCGTGCCTTGCAGTGAGTTTGAACTACTTTATGCGGTGGATAGGTTGAATGTCTTTATATGGAAGGGACAATGTCGTATGTTTCAATTAGATTATCTCACTAATGTAAGTTATTTTGTAATGTGCAACTCGTAATTCGTTTAGGTTCTTCAGTCGATATTTGATATGGCTGATGAACTATCGATAGACTGGCTGCATGATGGTTTCTCTAATCCTAAGGATATAATCCTTCGATTAAGGGATTTATATCCCGCAGCTGTTCTCTGTCAAGTTTTTCAGCGATTTTTCTTCCGAAAGAGGCCTTTTCGTAACAACATTGCAGCAATTTTTCCACGCAAGGCAAAAATATGTCGTTTAATCGGGGAAAATCTGCTCTCAATAACTAAGAAGTTTGCTCTCCCCGACTTCATCTCAGTTTGGTGTGCTTCAGTTCCTCGTGGAATGCAACCAAGACTGAACCGTGACTTGATCAGTTCTGGTCGAGCGTATACGGAAATTTCTTCATTAACTCAACAGAAAAGCATTACCTACTTACCCAGTGAGGATTTACCTGATGAATCGGTTGATGTACGATTAAAATCTCTTTTCGAACGTCAACCCCATTGGCCCCAATCTCAACTCGCTGGCTACGTTGCTGACCTAGTTGTTGATGTACCCATTAAAGAACCATGTTGCAGACGTCTTTCTATAACTTCTGATTGTGAACTCGATATTCTATCGGATTCTGAAGATGAAGATGAGCAAAACGCTATTGCAGATGAATTTGAAGACATCGAAAAAGTTGCTCTAGATAATCCTACTCCAATTCCAGCAGTGATTGGATCTGTTCTTAACCATCGTTGTCGTGTTACTACCTCAGCAGATGGTACTCGTTGTTTTACTGAAAAATACCCTCGAAGATAATAAATATTTTAATGCCTCATAGTGTCCAAATCTTATTTCCCTTCTCTGTTTAACATTGATTTATCGTTTATATTCCATTTTAGCATGTTTTCTCTCGTGGAGATATGTTGTAAGGTACTTGCTCGGAATTTTACAGCAATAGAATCCATGGATTATGTTCCTGAACACCTTGGAAGGCAGATTTCTGCTCACATATCCAGTGATCTCTTGAATAATAAACCAATCCCGTTAAATCCTTACATAAGTCTCTTTTCACCAATTTATGGAGACTTGTTTCTATCGAGTTTTCGTCTTAGAGCATGCTCCGATTTCACAAGTTGGATAGAAGCTTTCTCACTTTGTAATTCTCTCTCAACACTTAACTTGGATTCTTGCAATCTGGGCGTAAACTACTCCGATGTTCTACCTTGGATTGCAAGAATCAAAGGACTGAAGTTTCTATCTCTTCGGGCGAATAATCTCACGAATGATCACATTACTTCCGTTTCTGCAAAGTGGCGATTTAAAGGACTAGGTGAAGATTGCAAACTCGCTGTCGTGGATGTTTCAAGCAATCACTATCTTGGCGAACGGGCTTTGAAGAAATTAACCAGTGTATCCTCTTTACAGATGATTTACCTGTCAGATACTGGGCTAGCGGTATGTGAGTTTGTTTTGTTTTCCTAATCTGAGGTTTGGTTTTATAGTTGTCGACGTCTGCTTTACCTCTTGGTTGGGAAAAACGAACTGATCGGGAAAGACTTGTCCCCAGATTTCCAGGACCTTCGGGTTGGCTGTGGGAGGACTTTGGAGCTATGCGATTCCCATTAGAAGAAGATCTAGATAGTCCACAGTATGAATGTCCTTTCGTCGTATTTCGTCTGCGAACGTAATGAACGGTAAGGAAGATTCGAACAGGTGTGATTTGAATATCTTTGCTTATTTTTGTATCTCTTATTCTCTAATGTTTCAAACAAGCTTGTCTTTGCGTCTTTTAAAGTGAGCCTATTCGGGAATCTTATCATTAAAATGGTGTAACAGCCATCTTTATTTGACTGATTGTTTGAAATTATATGTTTATGGAACTTGACTTCCTAAGATTGGGAAATGTTTTTGAAGGTCATCTTACTTATTTCTGCTAATCTGCAAGTATGGAGCTCTCTTAATTTGCTAGTGAATGAATGATTGGGAGAGAGAGAGAGAAAAAAAAAGGAGAAGTATAACACGCACATATAGGGCTTTGTTACTGATTATCATCATTGATTGGATCGAAGATCACAACTGGTCGTGATGATTGGCTCGTGTATTCTCACCTGCTTTCTTTTACATAACCCTTACTCTATGTGTCACTGTCAGCACTTTCTCAAAACATATTTGATACTATTCACAAAACTTTATTTTCATGGAACATTCTATGGGCAAATCACATGGATTAAGAAGTATTATTCACCTATATTCATTTGAATGATTATTTCTTGATGACTTGCTTTGATAGCTTGCTTTACAAGAAGATTTGTGACGTTTACGGATCGGAAGTTCTTTTTTAGACCGGTATTTAACAAATACACCCATGTTGTTCCATTAATTAGGTACTCCTAAATGTTAAAGACTTTTTGAACTACATTATTTAGGGTTCACTGGTGTTTGGCTTAATTGTCCGAAAGGATGAATGTTCGACTCAAAATATTTGCGCTAATGTGATACGTTAACCCCTTTTAAGAAATGGGCTTAAAATCCTACTTAAGTCGTATAAGTAGCATTTGTTGATATGAAAGGCTTTGGTCCTGATGTCTTAGATCTTTGCAATAATTGCTTACTTTTTATTGACAGTACACAATCGTTACCATTAGAACTCAATCACTACGGAAGGATTTAATGCCATTTTCTTCCTCTAGAAAATAAATGCGCCTGCTAGCTTGTAATTAGTTTACAATTGGGGGGTATGCGATAGACTTACCTCCACCCTGGGCAACGTATACTCATACGGCAAAAAAGTCTATTAACCGGCAGTTGACTTCTGACTTCAAAATACCATGGCCGCTTCCACAGTACTCATCTCACCCTTTTCTCTGCCTTTGTGTCTGTCTGCCTCTTTTACATCTGTGAATCGCTCTTCTGTTCCCCACCCCTCGACTTTCTGCTACTTTGATGAACCTTCCCTCTGTGAAGCCCGAAGTCAATTAAAGGGCTAATGATAGCTATCAAAACGACTGCCATTTGAAATAAATAAAGTTTATAATTGGTATGGCATGGTCACTAACTACTATGATCAAAGTCAAGCGAATTTGAACAGACTGCTATATGCCATGCAGAGAAGGCTTATTAAAAGTGAAAGCATAGATATTATGATGCGCACAATTTATTCTGTTGCTCAAAGCATCGGAACAGGTGCTTATGTGGATCCATGCGAAAGCGATGAATTGCTCATGGAATCGCAGTGTCAAAAATGGTATCTTCAATTGAAATGCGGATATCATTAAAGGAGATAGGATTACAATCACAGATACTAATCTAATACCAGTCCTACTTCCATTTGAATGTGCTTAAATCCAGTGAATAGGAGCATGCGTAATTGCATTAGCTTGACCACTGGCAATTTACTTCACTTGGTTAGTGATCGAACTTTTCGGAATATTTGGCTGAGTTTAGGCTACTCAGAACAAAAGTCTTGGAAGGTAACACCACATTGGATTTCAATTCAGTCGCGTATCTCTAATCTTTCATTTCGCAAAACAAATATGTGAAGAGGCCGCTCATCGTAAGCTCTCTATATTTAATTGGCAAGGGAGTGGCATCTATGCAATCTTCGTAGCAGGTGATCTGTTAGTCTGTGAGAGTTGTTATTTTTAATCAGTTGAAATCGAGCCAATTTCGTTTTCATTATCAGAATATTGGCTCATATTTCTGCTCGATCTCTTTGTATTGAGCACCTACTGACTTGAAACTGTCATGGACACAAGTGCCTCTTCAACGAATATAGGACTCAAAGTCGGTCTTACACTTTACCATTCTTCATTCCATCGGTTAATCCTTTCCCAGTGCTGACGCCTCCTGCTTTCATTTATTCACCGGGTATTCGAAGGAGACATGGCTCTGCTTAGCTTTTCTTCTCATTCTGGAAAGACTATTGTATCCAATCAGTTTTGAAGACATTGCTATTTCCATGAGGAGATATTGAACCTATTTTTTTTTGATGAGCTTCCAGAAGTAATTTTACTTTGCAATAATTTGCTACAGGCTCCAAGTGGCAATTTTCACTGCTCTTACATTTGTCTTTATTTCACGAAAAAAAAATTTATTTGTCCTATCGTTGCCGATTCAATAGCTGGTTTTCCAATACACAATTGAATGTAATATACGCTATGTAATGTATAACCTCTTGCCAAAAGACCTATCTGCTTGATCTAACGGAGTTACTGCCTTCGTGCTATGCATATCCTTGCTATGAATATAATTATTGAAATAAATTGTTTTTTTTTCAGTTCTCTTCTTACTTCCCAACCTCTTTTCCCCCTTCATCTCCTTAATAACCCTCTGCCAGGCATTTTTGTCGTCAATGGCAAATGTGCCTGCCATAAGGACAGTCGTACTGCAAATTTTTTGAGCAGATTCCATTAAATGTGCCATCTGTGCTTTCCGTTTGAAGTATGCAAAATATGACCAGAGTGGTTAGTATATTTGAGAATTCCACACTTGACCGCTGGGGTATTTGCTGAAACACTTAATGAAGACCAGCAAAGACAAATTATCATCGTAGTGAAGTAATTGAACACGTGGAAGAGTAATGTAGTGAAGTACTATTAGTATTCATTCAACGCCATAGTCTAAGGCACTTTATGACTAAACATTTGGCGTTTTAAACACTTTCACTGAGCTCCCTCACACTCTCTCCTTTAGTCTCGATACTTGGGACGTAGCCTGGCCATTTTATGCTAGTAGACTTTGCTCGAGGCTAGTTGTACTTATCTGCCCCTACTGAGACTCCTAAGAGGATTACCAAGGTTTAGCCAAAGTGCTTATTCTTGTCGTATCCACCACAGGCCCCACTAAATGGGTTTGGGGTTTTCAGTCTATACATTTATCGGTTCATCATTGTTCAATGACTCAAGTCTTATTCCAAGTGGTGATCAAGTAGGTGTTAGATGATAAGTAGGTATGTTTATGGTGAGGGCAGTATGAAGTACACTTAATAAAAATTGATATTTATTAAAATTTCTCTTAAGAGTCATTTCAGCTTCTTAATCTTCATTATCGATCATTTTATAATTTATGAAACTATTTTTTTAAATTTACCGTTATGTCAATTTGCTAAACAAAAAGATATCCCTTCGGTGTTGATATTGTAAATACGATTTGGACGTAGAGGCGTATAGCTATAACTATTATATCTACTTAATACTAAGGTTAGTAGCATACGAAGTAGTATTACCTGAAAAGTGAGGATATCTCTGAAGTTTTGATTATTCATATCCCTCTGTACTTTCCGTCTTAAGTTCACTTCTACTTGAGAATAGTATTCACGGCAATTACACGGTACAATTACACAAATTTTCATAAAGCTTCATTTTCCATTATTAAACGAGCCAGATCTGCACTGTCCTTCTGTAGAAAAGAGTCCAAATCTTATTTTATTGGGGGGGGGGGTTAAGTAATGGGTGGCTTCATCACGCATTTTCAATCTTTTTTTTTTGGCAAGAACTTTTCTTTAGTTTATTAACGTGAATGCAAAGGATACCTTGTTTGGATGAACGGTATATCCCCACAGTCAGTATGACGAGAAACATGTGTTGTGTTATCCCTCTAGTTGACCAAGATAAACCAACGCAGTTGCCATCTACGTGACTGAATACGCACACTGATCACACGAAGTTTGACCCGCCAAACGCGTGCGTTAATTACTTTAATTCTTCTCGAGCTCGCTGGTTGTATTGGTATCAACTTTAACAATGATTAGATGGTGAATACTTTGGAACTGCTCTAATGAGTGACTTGTATTATAGCTTCCCTCTTGTTAGCCGCAATTAATGGCTGGGATTAACTAACCACATCTTGATGTGCGCTGTTGATCACCGATAGCGAAACTTAATGGAAAAAAATGAACTTTCTTCTAAACCAAGTGTTTTTTTTACCATTGAACCAGTAAAGTCTACTATTTAGTAGACTTTGAAAATAATCTATTTATTACAGCAACACGAGTCACCTTATTTTTTTTGACATTGGGAAAATTTTCAACAGCATACTCCCTAACTCATAAGTAATGCAATTTGTTAATAATTGTAATGTTTTATTTCTGTTTATATTCAGATACTAAGCAATTATTAAGTAGAAGTTAAGACAATAATGTTATAAGGCATTCTTATGTAAATCTACAAAATACCTCGATCAATAGAGTCCTGAAGATCTTGTGCTATTTCAAGAACCAGATGGTTATAAGGGGGTTGCTTAGAAGTCAGAGCCGTGAGGAATCCTCCGTCTGATATAAACATCACTACGTCCGCCAATTTATCCAGGGACTTCTGTGACATGTGCCCTTCTGCTATTGCTCTCGCAAAGGTTCCAGCTGTGCGTAGAGCGGCCTGAATTCTCGCCAAGTCACAGGCGCCATCATTGCTTGTAGAGTTGACATGTCGGATTAGACAGAGAGCGGCTGTTCTCAGCATTTCTCGACATTCGGCAATACTTTCCTCTTGCTGTTGCTTTACTCCCGTGCTCATTACAATCACGTGGAGTTTGACATTAGTCTTGATGATCTGCTTCACTAAATTGTCGGTTCGCTTTTTCGAATTAGTGTAACGCCAAATGAGTTGATGAAGAGTGTCTAATAAGTGGCAAGTAATTTCATCGAGGAAAAGGTGTTTAGTTTGGTTGGGGAAACTGCAGGCGATTTTGCGTTGTGCCCGTAGAGCAATTTGACGAGTGTTAAGAGCACCTTGACTCCTGACATTTTTCCGCTTCGGCTGTGCTGACATTGTCTTCTGGCAATCTGACTTATTTGTCCGCCTCCTATGCTAAAAGCGGTCATGTCCCTCCCGATTGGTTAATGGTTGCAAACCAATCGGGCTCTAATGCCTCAAAGTGTTTGTACTTTTACCTCACCCTCATACTTTTCTGCAAGGTCTAAGTGATGTTGAATTCAATTCATTAACCAAGTTAGTGAAGTATAAGGGAATACTAGTTGAAAGATATTGCCAAGTTATGTATTGCCATTCTTGAAAAAGAGCATACCCTTGAATACTTGAATTTCCGGTAGTTATGCTTTGAATTTATGTAAACATAATTTTATGTCGACATGGCTTGTAGCTACCGTTTTTTTAAATCTCAAGGTATCTCTATCCCTCTTTGAAGGTCATAGTGAGGACTGGGGTTGCCAATCTCAGTCTTTTCGAGGTTATATGAATTTATATTTAGTCACTTGGGGTGCGCGAGAGACTTACCTCCACGTGGTGCACCCTGGGCAACGTATACTCATACGGCAAAAAAGTCTATTAACCGGCA